AAAAAAATAAATCATAACTAAATTTATACTATTTTTAAGCTAAAATTGTTACACAAACTCTACAGCTTAAGGGATAACATTGTACTAAGTAATAAATAAAATAAAGAGTTAACACATATAAACTAATTAGAATTCTGCAGATACTAGGCAGGGTTCTATGAAAATATAGTGTGGTGCTTGGTATATGCAGAACCTTAGAACTAATATTTTGGATAAATGTTCCAGAGAAAAATGAGATATCGGGCTTTCAGATTTATCATTTATTATTAATAAATGATAAACTCGAAAGCCTAATATTTTTAAATAAAATGATTTACCAATATTTATTAAATATTCATTGTCTAATGTATTGTGGTAACTAATTCCAATTTTGAATAACATTAGCATCCTCATTTTCTCCATAATAATCAATATACACGAAAAGATCTTCATTTGTATTATTATTTTCATTGTCATAATTGGCTGTTTCATTATTTTCACTGTCTTTCTTATTGTCTTTACCATTTCTTTCTTCGCTGTCTTTACCGTTTTCACCATCTCCTTCTTCATTATTAATATTTGCTTCAGCTGATTCTCAATTCCCCTTCCTGGATTCGTTTGATTATTAATTCAAAAGAAGTCAAAGATTAAATTATCTTTAGTTCTATCCATTGCATTTGAAATCTCGCAACATTTAAACGATTTTCTAATCAAGTTAGGATCAACAGATTCCCAAGCTTTACTAATCCAACTTGCAACTAAACTATAAGATGGATGTTTTATTTTACATGAACATGTAAATTTTTTAATACCCTTATCAAACCATTGGTTATATAAGTGGCAAAGCTATTTATATTATAAAAAAAAAAGTAATAATTAAAGATGCAGATATAAAATAACATACTGCATAGCCATATGTAGGTAGCTATCCAATTTGAATATTATAATAAATTAAAAATTATCTTTGATTTAAATGACTTATTTATAGAGACATCAAGGGGTTGTAGGTGGGATATTAAACCATGAGGAATTATTGCAAGGTTAGTATTTTTTTCTTGAAAACATCATTTCACACGATCTGTTGTATGACTAGCAAATGCATCATAATAAAAAGAGAACATGGAATATTGCTACGTTGTGCTCGTCGAGTTCAAACGTTCTCCACCCACTATACCATTTTATTTTTATTCATCTATTCTGAAGGGTTTGCACGTACAATAACATTATTAGAAAATTCTTCATGAGGCACCTTGACTAGTTTAAAAATAATTAGAGGTTGGAGCTTTCTACCATTAGCTAAGCAAGATAAAATGACAGTAAACATTGAACATTCATGCCCAGTTGATGCGATTGATATAGTTTTGGTTCCTTTTTCTTCAATTGTGGTAGTATTTGTCATATTAAAAGATATAGCAGTTTCATCCATATTGGCAATTAAAGATAAAGAATAATCATAACTATGATATTTGTAAAGTATAAGGGATAAAAATTTGCTTTGTTCTTTATTATAAGTTTCAGGAAAATGTTAGGCAGTAGTAGTACGTCTACAGTTAACCAAATTATGTCATGACATAAATCCATCTACCCATTTTTGGGAAAATTTATGATTTTCAATTCCATGAAATTGGCTTTGGTAGCAAGAAGTGGTAGCAAGGGAACGAGCTTTCGCTTAAACTATATAGTGACTACCAGTTTTTTGTTAGGATCAGGCCTGACGAAACCATTCAAATAGCTTAGCTTCAAGCTCAGGATACTTAGGTTTAGTGCTAGATGCTAACTTTTAAATATATAGTGCAGCTTTCATAAGCTCTGGTTTTTTACTAATCCATTCTCTAAGTTGTTTCGACTCTATTTCGAATTTATTAGCTGTTGAACGTTTGCTATGCCCTTGTTCATAGTAAGCTATAATCATTAATTTTTTATGTGCTAACTATTGTCATTTTTTCTTTTTTGTCACTTGGGCATGATGAGCTTTAAAATTTTCACGGACCATTTTGATTTTTAGTGTAATGAAAATCTTTGGTAAACTTATAAAACAGATTCTTTTTTTTTTAATAAATCAGTTTTTATTTGAGTTTTTTTTTAAAAGAAATTATTTGCTTACAAATATTACTTGGTATACAATTATCTTCGTACAGGTTACTTTTGATAATCACTCTTAATGAAAGTAATAATCCCCAATAGCGATAAGATCTAAAAGCCCTTAAAATTTAGAATACAACTGATAAAAAATCTAACTCTTAATAAATCTAAAAATTTAAATTTGTAATCTATATATAGAAATTAAAAAAATTAAACAAATTATACTTTCATTAAATGTGGAATTAATTTGGATATCTCAAAAGTGCTGGTCACAAGATAGATACTTGTAGTTTATATATTTATTATCTTCATAGGTCTTGATATTGCCACTGTTGTTTTTGCAGCTTTTGTTGCTGCTATTGTTGTTCTTATAGCTCTTGTTGCTGCTGCTGTTGACCTTGTAGCTCTTGTTGCTACCACTGTTGCCCTTGTAGCTCTTGTTATTGCTACTGCAACTGTCTTTGCAGCTCTTGCTTCTGTTGGGTTTTTTTTAGTTAATTTCCTGCTAAACGTTCTTAAATATTATCATTTTTATTAAAGCATTTCTTCTATTAAAAATACTTTAAATTTTACCTTTCTATTTAATTTTTTTTTTTTTAAGCGATCCTGCTTTTATTCAAATTTAGTGAAACTGCTACATGACATTGTGATACATCAATGAGACTGTATGTTCTTATTTAATAAAAGCTCATCAAGCCTAAGCCCAACGTGACTAGCTATAACAACTATTAGTTACCCCGGAATTCAAAACTTGCTTCGAATTTCGTAATGACGAAGTTACCCCCCAAGAGTTATGACAGGTTGTTGTATACCATGTTAGAATCTTTTCTTTCCCTTCTAATTCTTTCTTCTTCTCAAAGGGCACGAGATAAAAGAGGGAAGTTTTAAAAAGTAAACAAAATGAAAGCGACCAACAAAAAACCTAAAAAACACCAAAAAGGAAAAAAGAAAACCATATTTCGAAAAAGAAAAAACAAAAGAGAAAAAAAAACCCTAACAAAATGATATAGCCATATTATGGCTGAAAAATTATATAATACTCTTAAATTTAGCTCTACTCTAGATTTAGTCTGTATTATATGTAAATATCTTCGGGTAGAGTTAGCTCTGCAAGAATTATTATAAAAAATCTCCAAATAGTCAACATCAGTCCTTGTTTCACATGACACAGTTTGATTCGTTAATTGCCTGTCCTAATTCGTATCTCAAGCCAGGTGCTGCTGCCGTCCGAGGACCCATATCTCAAGCCACCTGCTGCCGTAATTAGAGTTTCTGGGCCACTGAATCTGTAATTCCTCGTGACTCCTGTTCCCAATTTGGAATTGGTAAACAATGCAGATCTTTTAGAGAGGGTACGCCGGTTTTCCCACTTTTTGTTTAGCAAAAATTCCCTAAAAAAATCCAAACCAAGTGAGAATATGGTTTAGAGTGTGTAGCTGCAAGGACCTTAAATTTTCTAAAGAGTGTTGAAAACCCAAATTGTTTGTTGTTTCCCCTATGTTCTTCCAAGAAGTAATAGCCTAAAAGCTTCGTCGACAGATACTACATTCCAGCCTCTCTACCAAGATTTTATATTCAAGGGTACCACTTGCCAGTTATCTTGAATACCAATGCTCTTGGCTTGCATGCCGAACAGCCTAAAGAGGAGTCCTGTGCAGAGAAAACCATTAACCTCTTATCAAACCGCAAGTTAGGCCACGACTCTCCAACAAAAACTTGTTTTTCGTTAGCAGAAAATTTGGTCCAGGTGATCGATGGGGAGAGTTCTCTAATTGTTTTCTCTATTTAATTTTTTAAATTGGGCAAAAACGTATAACTACACTACTCTTTTATATGTTGTTTAAAATTTTTGTTTCGCAAATGACTAAGACAAAGAATTTATCTAATCTGTCTTACAAATTCAAGATTATGCATAATAATAAAAATTCTCTATATATTATATCTCCTATACAAAATATCCCCCTTACAAAATACCTCCCTATACAAAATACCCACTACCGATCAAGATACCCCAGGTATTTTAATTAGTATGGTATGGTATGTGTTTTTTATAGTAGTAGATAGTTAGATATCTTTATAGTATTCTAATTTTTGTTACCATTATATTACATAAGTTACTACTTGGTGGAGTTTCAAACTCCGCTTTAGTGGAGTTTGAATTTTGCCAATTTCACGAGAATACAAAATGGCAAAAGTCATATAACCCTACCACTTAGGCGAATTTTAAAAATCTTTGATTAACGAAATTATTTATCCTTTAAACTGTATTCCAGGCAAATTTGCCTGGAAAATTGAAAAGTATTTACAAATTTTTAAATAAAATTAAAA